TTTAATCTGTTTATTTCTTCCCATCATATAAAGCATTTGTGTGCTGTTAAGTCTGGAATTTGTAACTTTTTTTTGTTTTTTGTACAACATTGGTCAAGTCCAGTTGTTTTAAATAGTTTTTTAAATAAAGCTGGACTGGATGTGTACAGTTTAATCTGTGTGGACATAACATAATTTATTTGTACTGATAAAGTGTCTGTTTAAAATCCTGAATAACTGGAAGTCTATTATAGCTTGTCTTGGTTGAATATTCTATGCATACATCTTTACTGACTTGGTTTAGTGATTCTGATAAGCATCAGGGTAGCTGAGCTCCATGTTCACAGCCCGTCAAGAGGTCCACTGAGCTGTCTGCAGCTCTTTGGCCACAAGCTGTCTGAAGAAGCAATTGAATTTTGAGCACAAACATTCAGAGCATTTTTAGTAGCATTTCTATCAGCACAACCTTCAAGATGAAACCATTTCACCTTTGTCTTGTGAAAGTCTGCAATGCCATGAGGCCAAAAGGGTTTAGATTGTTCCAGAGTCAAGTTTTAATTACGTTTTTCAGGGGGATTTAGCAAGCAAGGTGGGATTACTTGTAATCAGGCACACTTTATTGGGTTTATTAGGCTTTATTAGGCCTTACCTTTTCTTTTAATTTAATCAAGAGCAAAATTATTTAAAATGCAAAATCATTTGAAAATGATCTGCTCTGTGTTTTTTGTGACTAAAGCTTACCTGTATGTGATGTTTGGCTCTGCAATACTTGTATATGAATCAGAAGCATGACATTCTACAAACATTTACCTCACTTGCTTTTCCCCAAAAGATGTATGAGATGATCTGAAAGAGAGATCCTGTACTGTACTTCCGCATGTTCCATATCTTCAAACAGTAGGTAAGCTATGGCTGTTTAGACAACCAAAGCAAACATTCTTATTCTTTCACCAGATAAGTGGAGCGAACCTCCCCACAGTAGAGACAGCAAATTCCTTTCCACTTGAAGATCTCCCACACACAGACACTTGTACAAGCATGGACAAAAGAAGCAAACAGTGGGGTGGTTTAAAACTGGGAGGAGTCTCCACTGATATGGGGTATGTTAAAGGGCCATGTTTTTTCTGTGCATTGTCTATTAATGATGCACAGGTTCTGTATTTTCAAGTTATTTCATGGTACTTTAATTGATTAGATAGATACCATGGACTCTCTTTATTGGTCCAATGTTTCATTTACAATAAACACTCATAATCGAATTAGATACATACACTCATACACAAACTCCCTAATCAGAATCAGAATCAGAATCAGAATTAGGAATTTGATTTGGTGTTAGGTGCACAACACTTCTATGAGACAAGAAACGACATACAATGTAGAAACAAAAATATAGAATAAAATAAAATAAATAATAATAATAATAACAATAATAATAATAAATAATAAAATAAAATATTGAATGTCCAACGACAAACCAAAAAAATGTTGGACGTAGTATTGGGTAAATTAGTGAGGTAGAGGGGGGTGAGAGAAGAATAGGTGGGGGCCACTGGCCTCGTTGATGAGGCCAGTTGCTGCTGGATAAAAACTGTCTTTATGGCGTGAGGTTTTGGTCCTGATGGTTCTCAACCTTCTGCCAGAGGGGAGGGTTTCCAAAAGTTTGTGACCAGGGTGAGAAGGATCAGACATGATCTTTCTTGCACGCCTTAAAGTCCTGGAGGCGTACAGGTCCTGAAGGGGTGGCAGATTGCAGCCAATCACCTTCTCGGCTGAGCGAATGATACGCTGCAGTCGGCTCTTGTCCTTAGCGGTGGCAGCAGCGTACCAGATGGAGATGGAGGAGGTGAGGATGGACTCAATGATGGCAGTGTAGAAGTGCACCATCATTGCCTTAGGCAGGTTGAACTTCTTCAGCTGCCGCAGGAAGAACATCCTCTGCTGTGCTTTCCTTGTGAGGGATTGTTGGCTGCACACCAGGACACCAGACGGTCGATCTCCCACCTGTAGGCGTACTCGTCCCCATGTGAGATGAGTCCGACGAGGGTCGTATCATCCGCAAACTTTAGGAGTTTGACAGACTGGTGGCTGGAGGTGCAGCTGTTGGTGTACAGGGAGAAGAGTAGGGGGGAGAGAACACAGCCCTGGGGGGATCCAGTGCTGATGGTCCGGCTGTTGGAGGTGTGGCTTCCCAGCCTCACATGCTGCCTCCTGTCAGATAGGAAGTCAGTGATCCATCTGCAGGTGGATCACTGCAGGCACACCCAGCTGGGAGAGTTTGTCCTGGAGTAGAGGAGGGATGATGGTGTTGAAGGCAGAGCTATCTACAAACAGGATCCTGGCATAGGTGGCTGGGGAGTCCAGGTGCTTGAGGATGAAGTGGAGAGTCAGGTTGACAGCGTCATCTACAGACCTGTTGGCTCTGTAGGCAAACTGTAGTGGGTCCAGGTGTGGGTCTGAGATGGCTTTCAGGTGGGCAAAGACAAGGCGCTCAAATACCTTCATCACCACGGAGGTCAGGGCGACAGGTCTGTAGTCATTGAGGCCTGAAATCTTTGTTTTTTTGGGGACGGGGATGATGGTGGAGGTTTTGAAGCAGGCAGGCACATGGCATGTCTCCAGCGAGGTGTTGAAGATGTCAGTGAACACAGGAGACAGCTGATCTGCGCAGTGCTTCAGGATGCTAGGAGAGATAGAGTCAGGTCCAGCTGCTTTGCGTGGTTTTTGTTTCCTGAATAGGCTGGATACGTCCTTCTCCTGAATGGAGAGAGTCATGGAAGTTGAGGGAGGGGGGCAGTTGTGTGGGGAGGCAGGCTCCTGCTGAGGTGAGGGTGGGGGTACAGGTGGGCAGGGGCTGGTGGTGTTGGGGGATGGTGTCGGTGTAAGGACTGTCCCACTGTCTTTCGAATCTGCAGTAGAAGTCGTTTAGCTCGTTTGCCAGACGCAGGTCGTTGACAGAGTGGGGGGGTTTAGGTTTGTAGTTGGTGATCTGTCTGAGCCCCTTCCAGACAGATGCAGAGTTGTTGGCTGAGAGTTGTTGTTTGAGATTCTCAGCGTACAGCCGTTTAGCGTCCCTCACCGCCTTACTAAACCTGTACTTTGACTCCTTATACCTGTCCCTGTCCCCGCTCCTAAGTGCCTCTTCCTTCCGCAGCCTCAGCTGTCTGAGTTTAGGACTGAACCAGGATTTGTCGTTGTTGTAGCTCACCCTGGTGCGTGATGGTATGCAGCAGTCCTCACAGAAACTGATATATGAAGTCACAGTCTCTGTGTACTCATCCAGACTAGTGGTGGCAGTCCTGAAAACATCTCAGTCAGTAGTCTCCAAAAACGCCTTAAGATCCTCCACAGCCTCACTGCTCCACTGCTTTGATGTCCTCACAGCCGGTTTACAGAGTTTGAGTTTCTGTCTGTATGCAGGAATCAGATGGACCATGACGTGGTCAGAGTGGCCCAGTGCAGCGCGGGGGACGGCGTGATAGTGGTGTAACAGTGATCCAGAATATTCTCCTCTCTGGTCGGACATTTTATAAGTTGTGTGTATTTTGGGAGTTCGTGGGTGAGGTTACCTTTGTTAAAGTCGCCGAGGACAATAACTAAAGAGTCTGGGTATGTCCGCGAGTATCTGGTCGGCGAGCGTGCGCTGTGCGTCCTGCACGTTGGCCTGCGGTGGGATGTAAACACCGACCAGAATGAATGAGGCGAACTCACGGGGCGAGTAGAAGGGTTTACAGTTGATGAAAAAAGTTTCCAGATCAGGAGAGCAGTGCTGCTGAATCACTGTCACATCGTTACACCAGCCACTGTTGGTGTAAAAACAGATTCCACCACCTTTAGTCTTGCCGGAGAGTTCCGTGTTACGATCCGCTCTGAAGAGTTGGAAGCCTGCCAGCTGCAGCGCAGAGTCCGGTGTCGATCCACATAACCACGTCTCCGTAAAACACAAAACTGCAGATGTGGCGCAGTCTCTGCGTTTCCCCATCAGTAGCTGGAGTTCATCAATTTTGTTGGGCAGTGAACGCACATTGGAGAGGAATATGCCCGGCAGTGGTGTGCGGTGACCGCGCTGACGAAGACGCACAAGCGCACCGGCACATTTCCCCCTTCCTCCGTTGTGCTGCCAAGTATCTGGGTCCAAAAATAAACAACTCATCATTAAAACTGAGGTTTTTGCCTCGGCAACCACCCGAGCCGCATGTCGCTTGGACTGCCGATACCCATCGGCTGCCTCTGGAGTCCCACAGGCCAAAAAGGCCGGATAGGACTCTTTCTTCAGCGTGACGGCATCCCTCATGCCGGTGTCCACCAGCGGGTTCGAGGGTTGCCGCCACGACAGGCACCGACAGCCCTGCAACCGCATCTCCGGGAGGCCGCGCCATTAACTCATTGACTGCCAGCCATTTTCAGAACAGAGAGTCGCTCACTGCCAGAGTTTTTTGAGAATTTTGACTGATTTTTCAAGAGCCACAGAATAGTTTGTGCTATGACTATGTAAACACCGAACACACCAAAAGAAAGAGTAGACTCTCTTCTTTCATCAGGAAAAAAGATTTTGTTTCTACCTCATTCCGTTCTTCTTCGACGTGCGTCTCACCGGCGCCATTTCTCTCATAGCGAACCATTGCGTTTGTTTTTATTTACCTACAATCTATGCTAATCTCCCATCAAAAGTGGCACAGCTACCTAGAGGGTAAATTTGTTAGTCCATACTCTGTCTAGAAGCCGATATTTACGGAAAAACTTTCGCCGATCGTCCCCCAAGCCACTCGCATTGAAAAACATAAAAGACGTCTATAGACGTCTTTGGCAGTCAGCGGTTGGATTTGAAAAGACGTCTATAGACGTCTTTGGCAGCGAATGAGTTAATGGAGGCACGGACCATGGCCCACTCTGACTCAATGTCCCCCGCCTCCCCCGGAACGTTCTCAAAGCTCTCCCGGAGGTGGGAGTTAAGACAGACAGACAGACAGACAGACAGACAGACAGACAGACAGACAGA